GCTAGTTATAATTAAAATCAAAACATTTGAATAGAGTGTTTAGGAATTTTTCTTTTTTTTTTCGCGTGATCGAATAATCGTACAATTGAATCCGGCTAACCTTCCTTGCGATACGACCCGGGGAACGAATCTTTCGATTCTACTCTAGTAAAAATACTTACAACAGCTGTCTTTTAATAGGTTAACTCCTATGCATCGTAAAAATAAACGTTGTCACCATTTCATCACACCTTGGTAATATCTTCAAAGATTTCGAATGAGAAGTTTACAGTACCTTAAATTCCAATACACCGCTAGAAAACAAAGACAAACACCAACCAAATTAAAATAATTCATGCCCAAAAAGCACATTTTTCAGGTGGGGTCTCAATAACAACAAAAACTGAACACATTCGCAACACATCCCAAAGTTTTAAAGACACATAACCTTTCACCAGAAGCCCGCCACAAGTCATGACGTGCCACTGCCACATGTCATGGAACTCTTGGTTTACTGTCCCAAGCCTCTCTCGCCTCCAGAAGATGAGGGCAGTATCTCCACGTCGAGACTTCCACCTGCTCGACAAACGACTTATGCCCATTCCGCCCCAAATGTAAATCCATCTGATTACAACGCTTTCGGCGCACTTTCCCATCCCTGCCCTCAACAACACCATCCCAGTCCACATCCTCCACGCAGGTCGCATCCAGGCTATAAAGCCCGCCAATTAGGCCGTAGTCGTCTGAGTTGGCCCACACGCCCTGGGCCACCATGGACGAGGTCAGCTGCTTGTACCACTTCTTACAACAAAATTCCCAAGTACGGGTTGACAGCTTATCACTAATTGCCGTCCAACAGATATTGTCACGCAGCATCTCGTACTGGGACTTCTTCTCTTCCCCAAGCTTCGCCTGCAGGTCAATGTTCATGAGGTCAAACAGTTTCTGGTACTCGTCCTGAAACCAGTGCCCTTTCTTGCGGTTGACCAATTTTATCCTCCGCCAGGCGTTACTCACATGGATATCGCACTTGCCGAGCTTGTCCGCCAGCTTCTTCCACTACCTGTCGTGCTCCTCATAGAACTTAAGGACCTCCTCATACTATTCTTCAGTCCATTTCCTATTAGGAGACCTGCGGAATAGAATCTGCGTACGCCTGTAGATGGAAAAGGTGGGTCTGTGTGGTATGGAAGACCCGATCTCTTTCCAACAGCCCCTCACCTCGGGGTGCTTTCTACAGTTGAGGACCATGTCCAGGCCTTCGTCACCTAAGTCGTGACTCAGTATATAGTCGTTAACAGCAGCTTTGATGATCTCGTCCTCTGCAGGCGTGAACCGCTTTCCTCTAACTAGATTATCTCCCTCCACAGTCCCTTTCGCTGGATTTGAATTGACTGGAGAGGGTAAAACCTCAAAGTGATTAGAAAACCTCACATCTTTCTTACTTTTCCTGGGTGTAGCATAGCTTGACTCATTCTCCACTGGTTTGGTCATTTTCATTTTTCCTTTTTTCTCACGTGCAGCACCATTATCTCTAAACTCTTCAGAACCCTCTTCCATTACTTCTTCTTCTTTTTCTTCTTCTTCTTCTTCTTCTTCTTCTTCTTCTTCTTCTTCT